TAAAAAATTAAGCGTCAATAAATGTTATAAATTTAGCAAGAAATTAATCAAATTCTAAGAAAACGTAACTTAAAATAAAACCTCTTTATTACTTATTTAAGATAATTTCCATTCTAAGAGATGAACTTTCGTTGTTTATTTTCGAAGGATTATTGTAATTGTGTTATATCTGTAATTAATAATGAAAGTTAAATTCGGCGACGGAGGGTGGTAAAGAGCGGAAAGGCAATTTTGATGAAATTGTTTTTTAATGTTATAATACAAAAATCTTTCATTTGTGATTTAAGGCAAATATATTGTTATTAGATACACTAACAGTTCACACAGGTTTTACTGGTTGACAAGAATTGCTGTGTGGGCGACTTGAGGCAGTAGGTAATACAAAGAAATAGATAAGGAATACAGAACAGATAAGCACAGTAAGAAAATATCATTAGTTGCTGTCAAAGTAAATTGTTTATAACGCAGTCTGTTATCACTGGCATATCGTCCCCTTGGGGATTTAGTATTAGTTCATCTATAACGTTGTCAATTGAACGTTCTTTGGCTACATAAAACGCTTCGCCTCTCATGGCTTATTCGCATGTTTGTACCTGAACTTAAAACAGATAAAAATTATTTGACGCAAAAGTTGAAGAAGTCTCAAAATGTATTAACTGTTATCATTTTAAGTCATTTGTCTATTACATAACTTCTGAATTTTACCTTGTATACTTTTATTAATTCGTTGTTTCAACATGTTGTCTCATAAAGGAATATTTTTTTTTTTAACCATACGTTCGTTATTACTTTCTGGAAGCCATATCGAGGTATTTATGTGTTTGCAAGTTGTGAGAAGAAGTGTTATAAGCCACTAAATTACTTCGGTGTTCTAAATTTGGTAATAACATTTCTTTATTTCATATTTAATAGTTTTCAAAATTCATTTCATTGTGACAATGCCAGAAATTTCAGCCCTTCACAAACATGCCGATAAAATTCTTGACTAGAATTAACAAGTTAACTTTTTTGTATTCCCTTGTAGTCTTTTTCTTTCAGTGGCTTTATCTAGCAACAACAAAACTACTTTTCATCTGTATTATTCCATCAACACACTGATATCGTTAGATGTTGGAGATCATGTTGTGGAATGCCAAGAACGATACCTGGTATGATATTAGAAGAAAGAGATGTCGCCAAAAAGTAACAAAGTAGTATTGAAAGTAGTTAGGTATGATGTTGACAGATGCAAGGTACGATGTTGATTACAAATATGAATAACGTTAAGGAAGACCATGGACGATATTACAGTTGTTAGGAACAATGTTGAGTGAGACCTGGAACGATACTGATAGATTATAAAAATCTTTGGTTGAGTATTGAACGAAGTGAGAAGTGACCTCGAGAGATATTATTATAGGATGGTTTATTATGATTATGAATGGTATTGAGGGAGGCTATAGACGATATCCCTGATATTTAAAGAATCAGAAGCGATGATCGAAGGTGTCAAGAATGATATTGTGCGCTGATAGCTTCAATACTGAGTCCAAAGGCCGGGTCTCATATTTCGAGATGTGACAATCGATTTCACTGATGGTGGGATGATATTGAGGAAGGCACAAAAAAGATTATTATGGAAGTGACGGACACCCTAAGAATGATCTAAATAGAAAAACTGCGTCAAGAAATCAGAATTAAAAGAAAGTGATGGGATACCCAATTATCGTTATCCAATTAATACTAGTTGGTGTACGTTTGAGTTATAACTGTACACGATGGCTGCTCTGCATACGCACCCTAATTTTACCAATGAGTTAAAGAACAAGCGAGCGTTATCCTCTGTGTCATCTAAATTTACTTATGTTTACCATAATGGCATACAATTCTGAAATTAAGGTAATCCAACTTGCTATCAATATCATTCGTAAATCAAAAACCAATCAATCCTCACTCCACTCGACAATAACAAGTTGTTATCATGCGCCCAAGATCAGTGTAGGAAATAATGTTATGAGCATACTGTTCGAGCAAGATTTAACAATAAGAGCAAGAAGGAATTGAGAAGAAGAAAGATAATTAGTTAAAAAAAAATTAATAGATACAGGAACTAATTATGTATTGTTACTCACTGCGAAAATCATTTTTGATCAAACAAGGATTAAAATCCTTCATTAACACAATAAAATGAGTAAACAGTGATAAAATTAATTGAGTCTCTAAGCTAATTGGTTAACTGATCAAGTGGTAATTTATAAGAGGAGGACATAAAGAAGATCAAGTAGTAACGTATATTATGCAGATTTTACTTCCACAAATAAGCACTTAGCAACTCGCCCATCCATCGTAAGATTTGAAAATTGTAGCATACAATGTGTTCGAATGAATAAAGCCACTTTTCCAACTTGTGGAAACATACGATTGTTCATAAGACAACATTGTTAGAAAGAAAAAATAAGGCGGGAGGATGCTATGTTGCATTATCCATAACAACAGAAAACAACATATTTTATTGAAAAGTAACTACATACCAAATATTAATGTTAATATCCTTAAGTTGATATTGCGATCTAAAAACATCAAATAAAGAATTATTAAGATAATGGAAAGAACATTACAGAGCAAAATTTAAGGAAGAGGAAAGGATATAAATGCTACATGGAAGTGAAGGGGAAGAGGAAGACGATGTGGAAGATGAGGAAGAAATGGCAGAGAGGAGATAGGGATAGAAGAAGTAGAGGCCCTAAAGACAATAAGAAATGGAAAGGCGGTGGAAATGCATAATATAGCTCCGGAATTATTAAACAAAAAGGAGATAAATTGAAAAAAGAGATGTGGGAAATATATGTATAAGCAGTACGGAGACAATACCGAGCGAATGGGAAAATAATATTATTATTCCAATACATAAGAAGGGAGAAACCACAAAATGTGAAAATGATAGAGCAGTGTGCTTCTCGTCAAAAATATACACAAAAATACTAGAAAAACACCTAAAAAAGGAAGCAGAAGATAAATTGGAAGCGGAACAAGCGGCGTTTCAACCCACCAAGCAGACACAAGACCACATATAATATATGTGGTATTATTATTATTAGTATTGTATATTATACAATCGGAACATTACTAGTTAAAATTTAAAAAATGGGTAAGGACATATACCTAGCATTTGTGGATCTAACAGCAGCCTTTGATACAGTACCAAGAGAAGAAATATAGAAATGTCCGAAAACTTTAATATGGAGGAGGGTATGAAATATGGGGACAGGCTGAGCCCACTACTGTTTGTGATTTTTATGGATCAAATAATTAAGAAGTGTAAAACAAGAACAGAACCTTCCACAATAGATTATTACAAATTAACACTGATGAAGACCTTTGACCTAGTGACCTAACTACAAAGAAAAATTGCCAGGACGAATGCAAATAAATATAAGGAAAACCAAGATTATGCATATAACTAAAGGGGAAAAGGATAAAAACATAAATATAATGATAAGTGGGGAGAGACAGGAAATTGTAGATAAATTTGAATACTTGGGCACCATTATTAGTGAGAATGGAACAATAGACAGAGAAATAGAAAATAGAATACAAACTGCAGGTGATGTATATCACCAAATGAATAACGCAATTGTGGGCAAGAAGGAAGTAAGAACAAATACAAACTTAAAAATTTATAAAACTACACTTAGCGGCATAAAAAACGCATCACCTAAAATGATGACCATTTCAAACTGCAATAACTTTTGAACATATTACTCAATTTCAATAAGTTTTTTTTATTTGAAAAGTTTACCTCTGTCAATATTTCGGTAGGTGCCTTCCTCATTTTGGCGTTCTTCAATTTCAGCAATTTTGAATAACGCTAAAGCGTGTTTTCTTCCTACACTTTGAAGCTTGCTGTGGGGTGCACTGACAAAAGAAATTAATTTTAAACATAAGGAGTTTGTAGTCTCGTCTGTTCTGATCACTTCTGCTTTTTACTCAAGTTTCCAGTGTTGTTAATACCAAAGTTACAAGCTCTAAAAGATAACGCAGCTTGTTCTGCAGCGCCATCAGAAATTAAAGCAAGTTATGGATGTCGATGGAATTTAATTAAACTGTGACAAGTAAATCAATTTCCTCCCCTCGCTTGAATGGTATCCCTCATCCTTCGAGGCATACTTCGAATCAAGTTTTGAATTTCATTTTGCGGAATCTGGCTCCACTCTTCTTCTAGATGTCATCTAGCGTTTATATAGCGAATCTAACCCGTCTCCCTAGGATATCCCACATGTGTTCTATAGGGAAAACAGGCATTAGCGTTTTTAACCATTGCTGAAATTGAAGGCGCCTACAGAAAATTGACAATTGGTACCAAATAAGAAACCCCTTATTCAAATCGACTAATACGTTCAAAAGTTATTTCAGTTTGAAACTGGTCATCATACTAGGTGATGCGTTTTTTATGTCACTGAGTGTATATATACACGGAACATCACTTATGGAGCTGAAACATGGATGAAACATGGAACATACATCGATGATAGATAAACACAAATCAAAAATAACAGCTGCTGAAATGACATTTTTAAGAAAGATTGCGGGAAAACAATAATGGATCGAATTAGAAACAAAACTAGAAGAGACGATTTAGAACAAATACCGCTAGTAAATGAAATAGAACACAAACAGCTGAGGTGGTATGGACACCTAGTGAGAATGCCAGGAGAGAAAATTCTCAGAACAGTAATGGAAATGGGAATAGTTAGAAAACGAAGGAGAGGCAGGCCAAGGATAAAATGAGAGGATGGACTGGAGGAGATAGTGCGCAAGAGAGGAGGAAGTATGCAGGAAATGAAGAATATGGCAAGGAACAGACATAGTTTTAGAAGTTAGATAGAGAATCCCAACAACACGCCAACGCTTTGATAGTATCTAGGGGAAATGATAAAGAAATTTATATTGTCTATCCTATAAAATACAACTACTGTAAATTTCCCAACATATGCAACCCAATATACCTACTCTATACAGTCGAAAATATAAGGTCACGAAACAAAACATTCCATAAACATTTCATACTTACTACCGTAGTTTTAAAATCATATCAATTCCAAACCGGCATAAGAATGAACAACATACTTGTCGGTGATAATGACCAGCAATTATCTGCACATTTAAGCCATTTATTAGAAGAAACTTCCAAAAAAGCGATTCAAGAAAGAAATATATTCACTATCGGAGTTTCAGGTAATCCTAACCTAACCTTATCATAACAAAAAAACAACTTAATACAAACATTATTTTTAGGAGGATCCGCTATAAAGTTTTTAACTGATGCCATCATCTTATTGGGCGATAACGACCTAACAAAATGGAAATTTTTCTTTTGCGACGAACGCGTTGTTCCAGTATCAAGCGAAGATTCCAATTTCGGAGCGTACAAAACTGAATTAATTGCTAAAACTAATTTAAAAGAGGATCAATTTGTAAGGATTAAAGAAGGAGTGGAAGGTAAGTTATCACCGAAACGAGATATCTTTACTAATACTGAAATGTCAAAATCAGCTGATGAAGCGGCTGTCGACTATGTCCAACAGATGGAGCAATATTTTCCAACCGGAAAGTTTCCAGAATTCGATTTTTTAATGCTTGGAATGGGCCCAGATGGACACACATGTTCACTTTTTCCAGGGCATAAATTATTAGAGGAAGATAAACTTTGGGTGGCATCTATTGTAGATTCACCTAAACATCCTCCTCAGAGGATTACTTTAACTCTTCCAGTTTTAAACAATGCAAGGAATTGTTGTTTTGTTATTAAAGGAATGGATAAAGCTGATATGGTGAAGGTAATATTGTATAATGGATAAGTTGTATATTTTATAGATTATCATATTTTATATTTATAGAAAGTATTTGTGGATAAGGATCAAAACCTACCAGCAGCTAGAGTACAACCAAACTCAGGAATGTTGCATTTAATAATACAAAATGGACTGTTAAATTAAATAGGATTTTATTTGATCACTTGTATAAATACAGTCAATAATATAATAAATACAAGTTTAATAAAATATTAAGTACATCACATCATTTTATTCTTAATCGAGCCTTCCATGAAGCAACGTTCAAGGCGAGAGTATTCCTCGAATATAACTCCTAAAATCTAGATTCACAACACCGAATAAAACGTTTTCGAACTTTGTAACTTTTAAAGATGGAAAAATCTTAATAACTCGTGCTTCATAGAAAACGACCGCATGGAATCATATAAAAAAGATTATAACTTGACTGTACAAATAAAAAAAGAAGTTTTGAAAAGAAAAAAAAACCGTTTTGAGAATAAAGTGCCCTCTTTGGTTAAAAGTGGAATCCATTCCACGACTTGGGGACACAATCTAAATACTTATATAAAAAGTTTCCAAGGTATAAGCTAAAACATCACAAATAGAAGTAGTAGAACAGTGTTTCTTTTTGCAACAACATTGAATAAGCTTCTTCTTTTTTCAACTTCTTCATTATTTTCGTTTTTTTATTTAATTTTTGTTATTAAGATAATGTTTAGCTTAAATTATAGCAAGATTCTTTTCCGATAAACTCTGCTATTATCTTTAAGGTGGTTACTGGTATTAGCTATGAAATAGAGAGATAGAGAGAGATGTATATCCTACGTGTGTCGGAAATCGATGCCACGCTTCGAGGCTGGACAGTAACGGTAGCGGAGGAGTCGTTTTAATAAATTAACATTTTTTTTTCCTAGACTGCATCTTCATCACGTCATATTTACTCCGAGAATCCGACTCGTGTACTCGTAAACAACGTAACTTATGCTCACTGCTGGCATCACCTTTATGAAATTTGGAGTTATTCCTCTGTAAAGACCCAATACACCTTCTCTTTCAATTATCGTCCTGAACACACCTGTCATTGTCATGTTTGCTCTATCCATTGTTGGTGTTACCACTAGAAAAAGAATTATCATTAAAAATTTGTTTATCCGTGAAAACTTCAATGAGCAACTTGATTGTGAAAGGAAAGTAAGGAAAATGGATTGAGATTCTTCTAATTCATATATTGGTTGACTATGTTAGTCAACATAATCTAATCATCTGCTGACTCTGTTCATGTGATGAATAACAACTCACTGTTGAAGATAATGATCTCTCCACGTCAATGATGAACGCTTCCACGTCAATGACTGAGGTGGTTGATTAAAGAAACCGATTTTTAGGTTAAAAGTCCAAATAAAAGGTGAGACTTTTTACACATTCTTTGGCTCTATGGTCACTGATTTGGAAACAGTTATGTGCTCCATCCTGATTCTAACGCAATGTTTATATTGGAATCATTCATAAACAAAAACTAAAGAAACTACGGAAGTAGATGAAGTTTCAAGTATAAGGTCACCGAAATTTTCTTATACACTATTAGAATTAAATAAATCTATGGTTAACCTTTAATATCCTTCAATGTCTAGGAATTTCCTTGAAAACATTTCAAAATGTTTTGATAACTTTGAAAATCATCTAAAGATTTTTGGACATTCCTAAGTATCTTAGACAATCGTTACATATTCTGTGGGAAACCTTTGAATAATTTGGTAATCCTAGAAACACATAGAAGCCAATTAAAAACCCTTTGACTTCCCACGAAATCCATAGAAATTTTGATGGAAATCCTTTGAAACAAGTTAAGATCCTCCAAAAATCCTTAAATATCTTCTGGAATGGTCAAGATTGTTTTTTTGTGGATAACTATTAAGGCTTTCCAATATTTTTTTTTAGTGTGGATAAGGTTTAATTTGATAAGATTCAAACTGCGAAGTCGAGAGTCGTAAAATACTTACATTTCTTAGCTTATTAACCCCTTAACGTACGCGCTCAAGTTAATTCGAGCGTCCTTAACTTTTCCCTTCATATTTCCCATCATTTTTTTCTTTATATGTATTTTTGAGGATTGGTTTTATGTCACCCTTAAAAGAAAGGAGACTTTATATATATATATATAGACAGTAGTAATTCTAAAGATAATTCCGAAGAAGATTGCAAGCTGGAAGATCAGCAATCTCCAATTCCACATCCTTTAAGGTTTCCATTTGTTGCCTGGTTCAACTTTTCTTTTGATAAGCAATTGTGATATACCAGAATATTTCAAACTATATTTTGATGATTCAGTATTGGATATGTTAGTTTTAGAAACAAATAAACATGCTGAACAACCAGGCAGATCTGAGAGTGAATGGAAACACGTTGACAAAAATGAAATGATATTTCTAGCTATAAATACATATACTTCAGAGCCTTAATAAAAAACCAGAAGAAAGAATTTATTGGTAAATTAATAAAATATGGAGTATCAATATAAGGGAGGAACTTTCCAAAATTGATGAACCTAAGAAGGTAATTAATGAAGCAGTTGATCAAAGTACTTATCCTAACCCAAGACATTATAAAAGTTTGCCTATTTATGAAATAATAAATGTTCTAGTTTATACTTTATAAAGTACTATTAGAGATATAGTAATAAATGGCAAATTTAAAGTTAGGCTGGTCTTCCTAAATTGTTGTGTCATTACTTCTAAACCAAGAGTACTGTCACGCCACTGGTAATGATTATTCATCACTATAAATAACAATTTTTTAGTAAATCATAAAATGAACACATATGGGACAGTCCAGAAGAATAGAGAAGAAATACCAAAATTTATTCAAACAAAAATTAGAATTAAAATTAAAAAGGGCGAAATAGGAGCTGCTCCACATGAAACTGTAATGGTAATGAAGTGGCAAAATAAAATATTAGATATTTGTTTGTTATTTACAGTCCATAACACCGAGAAGGCAACAACAAACAAAACTGATAAAAGATGGTAATGTTATGTCTAAGCCAAAAATAGTAATAGAATATAACGAAACGTGGTGATGTGTTTATCGTCTAGATCAGCATTTACTTGACTATACCTTAACAAGAATGTACAGTGTGTTAATTAATTATTGTACCCAAAGTCATCATTACAAGTATGCAACCAATATCATAGTCCATACTGGTATTGCGATACGCACATTGCGTAAGAAAGAAGCTCCCACAATATATTGGGCTAAAATGTTTTTTTCAAAAAAGTGTGCAGATTGAAATAATATGTGGGAACATATGATGTCTACTAATTGGTTCACATATCCGAAAGTTGATGACATAAAAGCGTGTAAGAGTAGGACAAGAAACTGCATCTAGTCTGACATCAACAGCTCATTAGACGTTGACAATGAATATTTATAGAGAACTTGTTAAGAATTCACGGATTTGAAAGTTTTAACAACACTTAAAACACCTGGTCCACAAGCACATTACTTTTCTCCAACTTAGTACAAGTGTTAATAAGCATGGTAAAAGGTATTGCAACAATGTGATAAGAAAGGAAACGAAGAGTTAATACTAGAAACTTGTCCAGAAGTTATTTAACTTATTTCTAAAAATCGTTTCGGGTTTTTGATAGACTTAGCTACCAATAGTGAGGGGTGGGGTAACCATGGTTTTGCCTCAATAAATTCACATCGAGCACAATATCAATCTCTTCAAGTTATTTTTAGTGCATTTTCGTGCATTAAAAGTGATTTAAAACCCATACAATATGCTGTGAAAGATTTGCAAAGACTGCAAACTTTTCGGGTTAGTTATGTTAGATTATGCTTTATTCATTTTGTAATAAAAGAAGTTTCTTTCATTATTAAAGTGTAGACAAAACCCCATCAAACATTATATATTATCAATTTCCATTCGCACAGATCAAACACAACCCGACTCAACCTAACTACACCAACCCACAAGCAACATAAACGGACGTGATTCAGTTCCTCATCCAATCAAAGCCAAACTAAACCTAACCCACGTCAAGTTTAGTAAATTTTGCAAACGTAACATAATTTTATATAGATCCACTATATAGGAGATCTCTAATGTCCAAGAGAATAGCTCTCTAACTGAATTGAATTTCGAAACTTGGGAATAACCAAGTATTCAATAAACTTATCCAGTACATAGCATAATAAGTTATTAGTTGCAGTGAATCTATATTATATTATTAAAGGCCTTTACTTAGCTTTTCAACAGTATTTTAGATACTGTTGTAGTATTTTACAACTCAACAGTATTTTAGATAAACCATCCAACGCGTGCATGAATAAATTTTCACTATGCGACTACACTTTGGGAATTACCACAATACAGAATCAAGGATTGGATACATCAAAGATATGGAGGAAATACTTCATTATTATGTTGGTATTATGTAAAATCCAAAATTAATTTAATTTATTTACCTTGAGCTTGTAGTCTCGTTCTAACTAAAGCCAACGGATATGAAGACAACTGTCCAAGAGTACTGGAAACACTGCCACAAGCTAACAACATCCAAAAACTGGGTTGTTCCTCGCTTGAATGTGTTTTGAGATATTTCCTCTTGAGCGTTTCATAGACGGCGAGATCGATGCCGGCATACGGAGCGATTCCCAGCATGTTAGGAATGTAGCCACGATAAAAACTGCGTAATCCCTCGAGGGAATAGATTTTGTAAGCGGCGTCGACGATGCCCTTAAATTGTCCGGTTTTTCTTAATGCAAGCCGTGTCTTGAGTACTTCGAGCGGGTAAATGGCCGTCTGACTAATTCCTCCGGCCAATGCACCGGCTATAAACCGCTCGTAGATACCCAGATTGTGTTTCTGGTCGCCCTTGATGAATCTCTTTACGTGTTCGTAAGCGGCGAATTTAATTGCTGATTCGGGCGCTATCTTTAAAATGTTTATTCCGTTGCCTCTCCATAAACCCCGAAGGCCGCCTTCGTGGAGCATATTTTTTAAACATTCACCTATTTTTTGTCTACTCTGTTGTACCTAAAAAATATTTGTTAATTAATATGTGATCATATTTATTTTTTATTATCAATTCTTACTTGTAAAAAAACTTTTAGCCTATCTAACGGTGCAGTGCAGGTCCTAGAAACAGCTCCGGCAACACCTCCAGCTGCTAAGTGCCTCCACCACATTCCAGTTTGCATTTCACTTGGAGTGAAGTCATCAGGTACATTCATATCCTCCCCAATGTCCAAATACTGAAAATAAATACAAAACATGATACCGTAACTTAATCAAACCCACAGTCTCAACTTTTTCATTTTTAAAGGAAATGAAACCTAACAGTCATAAGGACAACGCTATCCATACGACTATCCTTCAATAATATAGTAAAATACGCTTCAGGATCCGACCTATCATCAGTGGTTTCTTTCCGCATTTTTAGTTCCAATCGAGAAGACGCAAAAATGTTAAAATTTCTATTTATCGCTTTCAACATAATAGTCTTCATGCTTGAAATGTTTGTAGAGGAAATCCTCTACAGACACTTGCGTCCATTTGACAAGAATAGAAACTGACGTTGTCACAATGAACGGCGACGGCTCATTAAAATAATTTGGGATGTTAAAAACTTTCCAGGATGTTAAGAGGAAGAACAAAGTGCCAAGCGACACTGACTCATAGACGTTCGTTCGGCTGCTGTAATTGGAACGGCAATTGACTAAGATTAATATAAAAAATTGTTGTGACAGAAGACCCGAGAGGGAGAGGTCGAGTTGATAATGGAATTTTACAAGATAAAAAAACTTAAATATTTCTGCCAAGTCGTTAAATAAAGGTATAAAATATCATTCATTATCACGTTTCGTCAATAAAACACCTAAACAATCGGACGTGACGTGCGCAATCTAGAAAGGTGTACAATAAATAAAACAATGGTTTGATAACATCCTAGAAAGAACTTTAATGATTTTAGTCTGAATTCGAAAGGTGTCACTATTTAAATAAAATAAATATACCAATAGTTCAAATGAATAACACACGTGTTTAAACAAAAAGTGTGCGTACCTTTATCAAGCTTTAATGACAAATCGGATTTCCCGTTTATTATAAAAGAATTCGAATAAAACAAATTAATCATACACATTTTCTATTAAATCACAATTATTTACAAAGAATTTGTCTACAATCCTACAAAAATTACGTAGTCCTTTCTAAATGTAATTTCTTAATAGAACCTTTCACAAAATAATAAGTAATTGAATTTAAGCAAGATTTATTCATTCTGTCTAAATTAATTCAAGATTAATACTCTTTTATGGTATAATATAATCCATGAACATAATTGCAATTAATTCACGACATCGTGCTGTTCTAAGAATAATTTATTTTTGGAAAATTGAATCCCCAACGTTGCGTAAGAAGAGCGTGACTCCGACGAACTATTTTCGTCTGTGCTAAATGTATCGCTGCACTGCCTTTCAGCATCTTACAACGGTTAGAAATCTTGGTAACAATGACCTGGCTTTGTTGGTGGTCAGTTAGATTAGACAACTTATCACCTTCAAGTTAAATTAAAATAAAAACAAACATTAAAAAAAAATTTGCTTGTGTTTCATAAAAAACCACAAATGTTTCAAAAATTGTGGAAATTTAAAGATGTTGTAAGTTAAAGGTATTTTGGATATGTCGAAAAGTTTTTTCGTAAACCCCCTAGTTTTCTTAATGAGACATTAATTCGAAACATTTAATTATGCCGCAACGCATTACAACAGCACGTGTTTGTAAAAATTACACGTTTTTTGGCAATCAAATCAAATTTATTTTTACTATCTCTTTCAAAGCGATCGACAACCACTCTTTATTCTAAATGATAATAATTCAGAATACTTAAGAAGACAGTAACGTCAGAAATCTTCCGCAATTAACATCAATTGCCAAATGGAAAACTCCTATATCAGCCCAACAAATGGTCATAATTCAAAGTAACAAACTTGAGTAGTAATAACGGTGAAGGGAGATTTCTAAATTCCTTTCCGTTGTGAAATTACGTAAAGAGCAAGGCTGTCTGCGAAATCTCATCACTTTCACCTTCGACGTTTTTTTTTGGCACAAGGCGGCTGAGTGTTAAACCGACTTACCCTATCCAACAATTGGTGGAAGAGAAAGATAAAGTCCTCCAGGACATCGGGAATGGCTGTTGCAGTCTCTTGCTCGTACATTTTGGTCCTTTTAATTTCCTCGCGAAGTTTATTATTATCACAGATAAAAACGTGCACTAAAACGCGCAACTTTTTATTTATTTAATAAAAAAAGTCTTTCTTGATTGAGGATTTAGCCCGAAATCTTCCCCGGCACTTCCTGCTTTCAGGAAGCACACGAAAAATACGACCAACAAACAGTAACTGCAAAACACTGACTGAATCGCGGTAGTAACCGCGGTCCCGCTACATATGAGTGTATGGGAGGTGGGGCTCAACTTGTGACGTCACGGTGATGTACCAAGTCTCAAGGTCCAGGTGAAGCAGATAACGAAAAAAATGATATACCACCACTTTTATATGGTGACTTATAATATTTAATTAATTAATTGATCATATCTCATTATCCAGAAAAAATGCTGTAAATATTTACTTGATATTGAAATTTTCCAGAATTTTTTCACGTAAATATACTTGAACCTTGGTGTCGTTGAAGAAAAACAACAAAACACTGAATAATTTGGAACATGAAACTGAAATAAGGATTAAGAATAGCAACAAGGTTTTAAACTTCTTCAAATAACCAAGTAGCACATATATTTCTTTTTTAACTTCTCCTGCATCTTCACCAATATCAAAAAATCTGAGTGTATATTAATAGTTATCTGCATATATTGACATAGACTTAAAAGAATGACAATGCTATTTACTTGTTCAAAAAATTAATGGCAATATTATAGATCGTGTTAAAATGTAGACCTCAAGATTTTAAGGGACTTATGCGTTTTAAGAGCTCTATTGATTTTTGGCAGACCAAGGAACAGTATTATAATAACGTGTATGCAGATGACGCACACAAGTAAATGGACAAAATCTTCCTTTCGTGAATGTTGTTAAAGAAAACGCCAAAACATGCCAAAAAAGGTAAAAATATCAACTCTTTTTAATATTGCAATCATTTTAACACATTTCCACATTCACACAAATGAGTACACTTCAATGGGAAAGTCACTTCAATCAAATCATAAGTTTGAATGAGTATTTTTTGGTCAGAAATTCGAATTCAAAATATTACTGCGATTTCGAAGAAGAAGAAAAGGGAACCGAAATGTTATTCAAAATATAGGTTGCGGTTGTATTAGTGGAATAAATGGCTACAAAAGCGAAATCATGTGAATTACGGAGAATCAAGACAAACACAGAATAAATAAACATCATTCTCCAATATTGTAAGAATAGAAATTTTAAATAGAACAGTAGAGTCTACAGAGAAGAACAGAATGCTGTGTCTAGCAACGAGGAGCAAATTCAGAATGCAGAATCCTTTGAATACTAATTAGATGTATACTGCTAACTCCTTTAAATAGTGAAGGATGTGCACTCTAAAGAATTTACAGAATAAAGAACAGAAGCCGACAGCAGATTCTAGGAAAAAATTTAATAGTTAACGCAATAGCAAATAGGTGTGTTGGAAAAATGAAGAGTCGGAATGCAGATTCCTATAAACACTATCGAGATGAATAATGCAGAGTCCATTAAAGAGTAACAGATGTGCAGAGTAAATAGGCACTATGAAAGACGATGCTATTCACATAGAAAGAAGCAGAAGTTGTGATTTTAAAAAGAGTATAGCAGTAAATGTATTATCAAGTGGCAGAATTGGACAAATGAAGAATAGATATAGAACCAGAAACTGTTAAAGAGTACTATGTCGGTATGCAAACTGAGTTAAAGAGTAAAGGTGTTGTACAATAATGAAGCGACTAATGTAGAAGAATATTGGCCAAATGCAAAGGCTTTTTTGAGAAATGTAATGAGAGGGTATATTTAGAAACATAGAACGATAAGTTTTGGAATAAATCGTGAAGAAACGTAAAATGCAAATGTTATTAATAGAGAACAAATACAAAGTCTATTGAAGATTAATAGTAGAATGCAAAATTGCTTGAAAAGAACAGATGCAGAATGGAAAGTGAATTAAACAGGAAGAAAAGGCAGTGTATATAGTGAGAAGAGAATAAACAGATTACAGCAATATGGAACTATAGCCAACTGAAAAAGAAATAGGAAGCTTTAATCACAAGACTCAATGAATTACTAAGTTCACAAAAGATATTTGGAAATAGGAAACGCAAAAATAAGGAATTGGGACAGAATTGAAGAAACTGTAACAGAAATGAGAATGTTCAGTAGTAGATATACGGAAATTGTGGTACAAAGATGCTATGAAAGACCATAAATACAAATGTTATGTAGTTGTATATTTCAAAAAAGAAAAAGTAAAATACCAGGTGTTAATACCGTAGCCTAGAGACATGGAGAATACCTAGTTCTTGATAAAAAGAGAGTTAGGATACAAAAGCGACTAAAGAGCAATAGATACAGTATGTTGTGGGCGCTAAACAGGAACAAATTCAGTATGCAGACTCTGTTAAATAGGATAGAAGTAAGTATATACTTACTTATATTATTATGTTACTTATTTCGGCAATATGCAGAAAAAACTTGTGTCTTAAAATTGAAGAGCAGATTAAGTAGGTACTAAAGGGGAACCGAGGCGATTTGCAGTGTCTTAACTAGACTACCAGAAATATAGATCTAAATAGCAAGAGCAGGAAAAATGAATAACGCAAGCAGTGTATAGTCTATTAAAAAGTACTATAACCAGACTGCAAAATCTGTTGAAAAGAAACAAAGGAAGATTCACCTTCTAAAGAGAAACATAGATAGAAATCTGTACAAGGTCAACAGTGGATATAAATAAATGGAAACAATTCAGAAACATGGAATCAAAAACAAGTTCTAAAATAATAAACAACAAAAAATCAATGATCAGAGGTAGAAAGCACTGTCAAGTAGTCAAACAGTGTTTCTTTTATACAAAAACGATTATGGCTGCTAAGATCCGGAATAGGGGAATAGGAAGTCTCTGGGCAACCACACCGATATTCGAGTAGATGGCACTAAATCACACAATATCCAGCAGACGATAGTTAATAGTAGAAAAAACGCCATGGAATTTGTGATCTCGTACACCTATTAACTGGAATAAAACT